CCCAGGGTTAGCCCTTGTCATGTGCAATACTTTAGGGTTAGGGTTAGCTCTTGTCCTGTGCAATACTTCAGGGTTAGCTCTTGTCCGTTGCAATACTTCAGGGTTAGCTCTTGTCCCGTGCAATACTTCAGGGTTAGCTCTTGTCCGTTGCAATACTTCAGGGTTAGCTCTTGTCCGTTGCAATACTTCAGGGTTAGCTCTTGTCCCGTGCAATACTTCAGGGTTAGCTCTTGTCCGTTGCAATACTTCAGGGTTAGCTCTTGTCCGTTGCAATACTTCAGGGTTAGCTCTTGTCCAGTGCAATACTTCAGGGTTAGCTCTTGTCCGTTGCAATACTTCAGGGTTAGCTCTTGTCCGTTGCAATACTTCAGGGTTAGCTCTTGTCCGTTGCAATACTTCAGGGTTAGCTCTTGTCCGTTGCAATACTTCAGGGTTAGCTCTTGTCCGTTGCAATACTTCAGGGTTAGCTCTTGTCCCGTGCAATACTTCAGGGTTAGCTCTTGTCCATGCAATACTTCAGGGTTAGCTCTTGTCTCGTGCAATATTTCGGGGTTAGCTCTTGCCCCGTGCAATACTTCGGGGTTAGCTCTTGTCCCGTGCAATACCTCAGGGTTAGCTCTTGTCCGTTGCAATACTTCAGGGTTAGCTCTTGTCCCGTGCAATACTTCAGGGTTAGCTCTTGTCTTGTGCAATACTTCAGGGTTAGCTCTTGTCCGTGCAATACTTCAGGGTTAGCTCTTGTCTCGTGCAATATTTCGGGGATAGCTCTTGCCCTGTGCAACACGTCAGGGTTAGTTCTTGTCCTGCGCAACACGCCAAGTTTATGTAATAGCACTGGATTTGGTAAAGGAAATACTTACATGGGGTTTGGACAACAGAAGCTTGGACATTTTGGGGATGATGAACTGCAATGCATAAGGATTGGGTAAGGGTGTGATTGGGTAAGGGTGATTGGGTAAGGGTGTGATTGGGTAAGGGTGTGGTACATATCGAGATATAGGGGCGTTCCGTGAGCAGGGGGCGGTGGGGTAGCCTTGTGATTAAAGCGTTTGCTCGTCACGTAGGTTCGATTCCCCGCATGGGTGCAATATGTAAAGAATAGTTATGGTGACCCTCGCCGTTATAGTGTTGGAATATTACTAAAAGCGGAGTAAAACTAAGCTCACTCACTCACTCGGCGAGCAGAGATTTGGGATATTGAAGCAATTTAGCGGATAATAGGGGATCTATTTTTCTGTCTGGGGATCAATAACTTTTATTGCAGAATTCTTACATTCGTGGGTGGCCAGGGACTTGTACGATTAAAAACAACACGGTCACGTGAGTCTCTATAACTATTGGGTAAGAACACATTACTGTTGATTGCCATTTCCCGCTACTGCCCTGACGTAAACTTTATGGCTTTCTTATTGCGACATTGAATTTTCTGCTTGTACAATTTTCGAACAAAGCTATAACCTGGTTTGAGTAGATGGGAGTGGCTGAAGATAAGGGGCAGATGTGTGACGCATGCACGCACTAAATCTGGTTAAAAATCGAAAGAGGCCGAGCTTTTAGAGAGAGAAACGTGGCATTTTCTTCACTTAGGAAATGATTAATCACGGTAATTCAGCCAAATGCGATAAACTGCTTTCTCTCCCCCTCACCGGTTCTTGAATCACGGTCCTCCGAACCCTACTCATGTCCCCCGATTTTAACGCTCTGCCACCACAGAGAGAGATATCTCTCCAAGAAGCGGTCAATAAGTTGTAAAAGCCATGCGTCAGAAGCAAATCTATGAGTTTTATTACCATAAAATACTATTTCCTTGGGAAATTTGGCTTTCATAAAAGATAAAGCTGCAGCGAAATGTGAAAACATGACGATGGAGGTTCCTCATCGCCCCGGAGCCACTGGTCTTCTTTATATCTCTTCGCTCTCGTACACCTCGTCCCAAGTCTCCTCGCTATCCCCATCCTCGCACTTTGCCTCCCATCAGCAATTTGTCTGTGTCTCGGTGTCCTCATCCCTCTCTTCTTCTGTCTCTTACCCTCTCCACAAACTCACCCCTCCTTCAGACGCTTGACCCCTCTATAAGTCAATCCCCTCCGTCCCTCATCTGTTCGGGTCTTCAATTCCCCTCTGCCTCACCCCGACCCTCTTTCTTTTCCCCGCCCTTCTCTCAGCCCGCAACCCTTCCCCTCAAAATCACCCCATCTTTCTGTCCCTCATGCCTTCTCTCAGTCCACTCCCCTTCCCTTTACCTCACTCCCTCTCTCTTTCTGTTCCTCACCACTTCCCCTCTACCTCACCCCGAATCTGTCTGCTCCTCACCCCTCTCTCAGTCCGAAACCCTTCCCTTTACCTCACCCTCTTTCTGTTCCTCTCCACTTCCCCTCTACCTCACCCCGATTCTGTCTGTTCCTCACCCTTCTCTCAGTCCGAAACCCTTCCCTTTACCTCACCCTCTTTCTGTTCCTCACCACTTCCCCTCTACCTCACCCCGAATCTGTCTGTTCCTCACCCCTCTCTCAGTCCGAAACCCTTCCCTTTACCTCACCCTCTTTCTGTTCCTCACCACTTCTCCTCTACCTCACCCCGAATGTGTCTGTTCCTCACCCCTCTCTCAGTCCAAAACCCTTCCTTTTACCTCACCCTCTTTCTGTTCCTCGCCACTTCCCCTCAACCTCTCCCCGAATGTGTCTGTTCTTCACCCCTCTCTCAGTCCGAAACCTTTCCCTTTACCTCACTCCCTCTCTTTTCTGTTCCTCACCACTTCCCCTCTACCTCACCCAGAATCTGTCTGTTCCTCACCCCTCTCTCAGTCCGAAACCCCTCCCTCTACCTCCCTCCCTCCCTCTTTCTGTTCCTCACCACTTCCCTTCTACCTCACCCTCTTTCTTTTTCTCAAACCTCTCAGTCTGCATCCCTCCTCTCTACCTCTCCCCCTCCCTCTGTCCCTCTTTCTGTTCCTCACCTCTCCTCTTTTTGTCCACCTCCATCACTTCCTTCAAACAAACCTTCTTGAAATCGATGCGACAAACAGAGCCAGGGGAGTGCCTCAACATGAAAACTTTCTTAGTCATTCGTTTACCAAACCGTTTTTAGGAACGTGGATTGTCAATGGGCCTTTTCACACCCGTGCATTAGGGAGTAACGAATCTCCCGAAGAGTGATAAGCCGTATTCATCTGGTGGCATGGCTTGGACATTTCTAGTTTTTGCATCCTGAAGGGTTTCCAGATCAGTGTCTACTTGTTAAAGTGTTACTCGGGCTTTGTGTGCGTATTGGGTGATCGCTGGTTGTGAGACCGAATGAATTTACACATTATTCCCCCGACATGAGGAAATGTTGGATATGGTTTGAAGGGTATTCAGCACAGCTGCACAGTCATTCACTTTGACCTTCTCCATGAAAACACCGAACCATGGAAAACCTTATGTTCACGATCTACTGACAGCCTGCTTCAGTATCGGTTGTCCATCATAAAGACACCGACGCCATATTCTTTTCTGCCGAAGCGCTGATTCAGTAAGATTAACGCTTAGTCTCTGAAACTATACAATTTTGATAGAAACAATTATCTCAAGTTGTAGTGGAAAGGGTACCAAGTGAGATGAAAGATTCACCCAAACCTCCGAAAAATCTAGACTTGCTTTATTTGGTTTTTTTGCAATACAGACCTGGCGGAAGGGAATATAATGTGGTTCAGCGACTTAGGGTGTGCCGATCTAAAGGCGCCATAATTTATCATTCGTCCACAAGTCGAGCTAGAATGATCATGGGTTCGAATCCTAAAGTCATTCTCATAATGATTTCCGTTTTCAGCGAGGACATGTACAACTTTATTTTTTTGTAGGAAGTTTTTTGTAAGGAATTTTTTCCAGCAAACCTCATTTGAAGACAGGACATAATTCGAACAATACATACTAGCGTGGTATGCAGTTCTACTATTAATGTTACTAGTAGATAAACCATAGGCAGAATTTTCTGTCATAATTGAAATCGAAACATTATCAACTGTTGTTACGTTTATTAAAACAAAAATGTTGAAAATCCCATATCCCCTGGGTCAGTCCAATTTTTGTACGTGACAACCGCTTTGCGGACCCCTACGCAATTGGGTACTGGTGTAATGGGATTTCTAAGCGCTGCTATTCGCTATCTCAAGCTGTCCCTTATCGTGCTGGGATCTTATAACTGTCGGGGCGGTGGGGTAGCCTAGTGGTTAAAGCGTTCGTTCGTCACGCCGAATGCCCGGGTTCGATTCCCCACTTGGGTACAATGAGTGAAGCCCATTTCGGGTGTCCCCCGCCGTCATATTGCTGGAACATTGCTTAAAGCGGCGTAAATATATACTCACTCACACTATGCCTGTCGGCTCAAGTTTCAGAATTTCTGAATAGTATCTTTGGATTGCCAGCATCAAACCCAAACTGTTAGGTTTCACCAAACAGGTAAAGGCTCAAGATATACGCCACTGAGAGCAGATCAAACTGATCATTATATTGGACGGTGGTGGGATTTTAGGAGAGCTTCAGTGAACAGACAGCGTCATTGAGCCTGTACTCCCCTCGACTCGCCCCTGTCCTCGAGAGCGGGAGAAGTCATGTGACCTGTGTAGGTAAAGGCAACCCATCCACCCTCCAAAACGAACCCGTGAAGATCCGGGTTAGATTTGGTCTTCAGTAACCCATGCTTGTCGTACGAGGCGACTGACGGGATCGGGTGATCAGGCTCGCTGACTTGGTTGACACACGTCTGCGTAGATCGATGCTCATGCTGCTGATCACTGGATTGTCTGGTCCAGACTCGATTATTTACAGACCGCCGCCATATAGGTGGAATATTGTTGTGTGCGGCGTTAAACAACAATCAATCAATCAGTCCACAACGAAGACAGACACAAACACACACAGTAGCAGAGAGAACCACAAACACACACACACACGCACGCACGCACGCGCGCGCGCGCGGACACGGGCGACAAACTGGGCAATGTGAGCGAGCACGTGCGACAGGAACTGCACGTGCTGCAAGGGCTGCATGCCCGTCCACGTCTGCATCAACAACTGGAGAAAGGTAACTGGTGTCTTGTCGGGCCAGAAGACACACCGAGACAGATAAGTATAAACATCTAGGGTGAACATACCTTTGGTAAGAATGGTTATACTAATTTATGTTAGGAATAATCACTTAAAATATTCTATACCATCAATTTTATACGAGTATGAGAGTGGCCGTGCTAATTAACGTTAGAGCGTTGGTGTTATATAGCAGTTAGCACATCCATGGGACACGGTACCTTGCTTTTCTCTGTATGTTGGCCCGATCAGCATCGATACGTTCAGTCGGGGAGTTGCAATTATTGCCGCTCAGGTTACCCTCGGCGGACGTGTAACCTAGTGGTTAAAGTTTTCGCTCGTCACGCCGAAGACCCGGGTTCGATTCCCCCACATGGGTACAATGTGTGAAGCCCATTTCTGGTGTCCCCCGCCGTGAGACTGGAATATTGCTGAAACGTCACTCAGGCTACCCATCCTTTAAACCACTGAGATGACGTCACACTTGTACTATTGTTGTTGTAGTAGTAGTACTGAGTCGGGCATTTACTGGTCAAATCAAACCGACATCTACAGGTCATGTGCAATAGAGAAGATACCGACAAACCAACCATAACATGGCTCCCGTCTGAGAAATCAGTCGATACTTTTCATTCCATGATGTACCGTGTAATATTCACGCAACACTAGTGTCGTGTCGGGAAGAAACATAAATCGGAGTACTATCCGCCAAATTGATCTATGTACAGCACACGTAAATAAGAGCGCAAATTGAATCCAGGGGAAGTAACTCTGTTTGTACAACTGTGAAACTGTAAGTATATTTAACTTGAACACGAATGCATTTTTGTTTAGGGCTAGTTTACTTCAAGGCTATGTTAAAACAGTTCCGCCCAGTATATTTTTAGGAGTTTTAGTTATTGATATCATGTATGAAACAATTTCTACTTGAAAAGAATCTAGACCATTTCTTCTTGAATCTAGATTATTTTGGAGTGGTTCTGTTGTTCTAAGACTTCGTCACTCAAAGATATAAAATACTTTCAGAGTGGGATAGATGGGTTATTCATTCACTGACCGCCTAAGGGGTCTCTACAGAGCGCCTTATGAGACACCTCCGTCCGCATCATATCAAAAGATGCTTAAATATCATAACGGCACTGTGTTCTCTTGCCTGGCGAGACCCGTGAAGATCCGAGGTAGAATAGGTCTTCAGCAACCCATGCTTGCCACAAAAGGCGACTATGCTTGTCGTAAGAGGCGACTAACGGGATCGGGTGGTCAGGCTCGCTGACTTGGTTGACACATGTCATCGGTTCCCAATATCGCAGATCGATGCTCATGCTGTTGATCACTGGATTGTCTGGTCCAGACTCGATTATTTACAGACCGCCGCCATATAGCTGGAATATTGCTGAACGCGGCGTAAAACTAAACTCACTCTTGCCTGGGGCCCGACAATCATATCAAGGCGCCGCAATGCTCTGTACAGAGTTACGTCCCTTTTGTCACTCCAGAAATCTATGATCGTGGGATGGAATCCCAGCCTCGCCACGTCCATGCCTCTAGGTCTATCAGCAGCATACCCGAGCGCTTACATTTCACCACAGTGGCGAATGTCTGATACCTGCATCTCTCTGGTCATCCCGCCCAGTCAGGCTGACACATTGTGATACAGCGGGAAAACTGTTTAACCCAATTTTCTCTCATTTCCAGACATGGGAATTTCCACTACAGGCCAGGTTCATTTGATGAGATACCTGTAATAATCATTAACACTTTCCAGAAAATGTATTTTCACAAAGGTTCTTAAATACTCTATAATTTAGGTTTACAGGTGGTTGTGTTTTACACGAGGTTGTAACGATAGGCCCCAGGTGAGGATGGCGGGTTGCCGGGCCAAATCAGGTAAAGTTGCTTTCATTGGTGTCCTTAAAAAAATCACAATGAAGGTAATCTGGAGATCATGATTTGATTTGTCAGCAATCATTTTCACTTTCACTGAATTCCTACATGGGCAAAAAACACCATTCTCTCCAAATCTGTCTTAAGTAAACCGGACACACTGACAACAAAATATTCACACACCTCTGTATATTCCAGTACCGTAACAACACTGCGTCCTTCTTCCGTACCTGCATTTTCTGCTAATGTCTTCGCCATCTCTTACACAATGTCATAAATTATTGTCTTATGAAATGAAAACTAATTTAAGTTGAAATACGTAATTTGATGAAAAGGATTGCATACTCGAGGCTTGCCATGATTCTTTGATCGTGGTTTTAGATCCCCACCCTCTTGAAGATACAGCCGCGAATACCTGGAAAGTTGCTGATGCGCCGTGAACAATATTCCTTCTTTCGTTCCTTCCTTCCTTCCTTCAGTCAGTCATTCTTGAAGATCCGTGTTAGTCTGTAAGGGGTGACTTGGTTGACACGTGTTACTGTATCCGAACTGCGTAGACCGATATACTCTTGGATGTCAGTCAGCCGTTTGACTGTCCATACTACAATATGTACAGACCTCACATACAGCTAAACACTACTGTGTCGCTGAATGGACTTACTTCGAGTCATCCGAGGAACGACACAACCGAAATATGATGAACAAGTAAGGAATACACATGAGCCAGCTGTTACTTCGAGACAGTTCGACACATCAAAGTTCCACTGGATCTGTAATTTGGCTGAGGACGGTCTTAAGTAGCAAGGAAATCAAATACCTGCTTTACCGTTGTATTTGATCCTTAGTATTTCGGCATTAGTTGCATCGTGTTTCTACGTGGAGATCCCTATCCGCGACCGATGATTGCTGGGAAAGCTAACCACAATAGTGTTTCTGTTGATTAGATTGGTTGACCCTGTTCTGAGTTAGTGTCGTCATACCCATTGGCGTCTGATCCATCATCAAGCCGCTGGAATGAAACTGGAATAATATTGACCTTTCTTATTTTTCTGCATTAACTTATATATTGTTGATAAATTTGTTTTGCCAAGGGCCATGTATTACTTTGCAAGGCCTGGTCACTCTGTTTCGCAGTGGGGTAGCCTAGTGGAAGCGGTAGCTCGTCACACCGAAGATCCAGGTTAAATTCCCAACATCAGTACAATGTGCGAGGCCCATTCTAGTGTTCCCCACTGTGATATTGCAGGAATAGTGTTAAAGCGGCGTAAAACTAAACTCACTCACTGTTTCAGCATCAGTCCTCGTGATGACCCTCGCCGTATATGTCATCATCCAGGAACACATCTGGGCGCAGATAACGTCATATATAAGTATGTATGTGTAGTTCTACATTAACACTTAACATCTCCCCAAGGCACCAGGTCAGTCAAGTTATGGGCATCCGTTTGGCATGAAAGAAACCTATGACTGTGAGTCCGACTCCTCGACTACCGTGCATATGGGTATATGTCTGAGAGCTCGCATCGGGCTTTGCTAATACATCGTGACAGAAATATTGTTCAAAGAGGCATTAAACCAGACCCACTTCCCTCTCATGAACCTGGGATATTTGTTTGCAATGTTTGACCTGATTTGCTCAACGTGCACCGATGGTGTTGGTCATTGCCTGTGCTTCTCTCTGCTGGATCCCCCCAACCCAGGTTCCAATATTTACAGACTGCAGTTATATAGCTGGACTAATATCTACAGATTAATTCCCCACCCACTTAGTAAATATCACAATCACTAACATTCAGTAATGAGTGAGACTTACACACGTCTTACAGCGTTCTCGGACACGGTGGAAGTATCTCACCTTGAACACCAACGGCAACCAATCAGACCAGGTAGGTGCTTGCAATGCTATTGATTTTGAATATTATGAAAGAAATATGTCTTTCCGCAACGCAGTATATTCCAGAATATGATGGTCAATAACAGTTCAGTTGTATAATAGTTCAATAATAAAGATACTGTAAATGAATGTATTCTGAAATCTTCAAGACATCTTGAAGTTATCTGATCGACGCACAGTGTAAATGTTAGCGTCGTTTGCAGAGGAGCATAACTTTCACACATATCGGGTGCTCATAGTGAAAGTGATAAAATCACATGTAAACAAAACGTATTTGCCCCATTATGATGTTTCAGTTGCCCTGCAAACCGTCAGTTTCGACTCTGTCCTGAGAGACTACACAAAGAAATTGAAAGGTACTCCATGGAAGATATTAACGGAATGCACACATAATTGTTTTGGAGATCAACAGGTTTAAATGAAGCAAATATATGAAAAGTCTAACTTGAACGTAAGCTTAATATTGACCTTTTAACGACCTATTAATGTGACACACAAACGCCAGCTTTTTTATTACATGCTTATAGCAAATGTCCAGTATTGATGCAGATTTACAAGCTGCGGGACTCTGGAGACAGAATATAGCGAAACCGTGTGTAGAAGAGAAACATCCAGGTACAGTGAGTGAGTGAGTTTAGTTTAGTTTTACGCCGCACCCAGGAATATTCCAGCTATATGGCGGCGGTCTGTAAATAATCGTGTCTGGACCGGACAATCCAGTGATCAACAGCATGAGCATCGATCTGCGCAACTGGGAACCGATGACATGTGTCAACCAAGTCAGCGAGCCTGACCACCCGATCCCGTTAGTCGCCTTTTGTGGCAAGCATGAGTTAGACCAATTCTACCCTGGATCTTCACGGGTCTCCAGGTACAGCATGAAGAAACCATCAGAGTTTGATAGAACCCTGCATGCATCATTGAACCCACCATTTATCACAGAGATTACATGGTATAAAAGAGCTTATATAATAGAACCTCAGCATGCAACAAAGCTCACTACGAGATTTCATCACTCATTAGGGGCCGTTCATAATTTATGGCAAGGGGGGCGGGATGGTGTGGGATGATGTGATGTTTTTTTATGGAGAAGCGTGTACAATGTGAATGACCAACCCCCCAAAGATTAATGTACATCATAAGCGTCCCCTCTGCATGCCATGTACAAAATCAATGACCACCCCCCAGTACATGTGTTCAAAATTCCCCCTACATACCCAGAACAAAAGAACGACCCCCCAACCCCTAAAATCATCATCACCCCCACCCTCCTCCTAGCAATAAAATATGAAGGGTCCCGTAAGCTTACACGCGCTCAGATATAACTGCAATACGACACAATGTTTTGTTTCCTTTCAATTATGATAAATGCTCTGGGCCCATTCGCCATCTAATCCTTGCATTAAGACCGCATCAAGTGGCCGGGCAGATATGTAGCCGAGGGGTTAAAGTGTTGGCTCGTCACGCTGAAGATTCGGGTTCGAGTCCTCACTGGAGTCCAATGTGTGAAGACAATTTCTCGCTGAGATATTGCGGCGTCAAACTATCCTCACTCACTTGAATTACTCGACACTTGTAAATAGACGTCAAGTCAAAGTACAATGCCCTATCGTGACTAAAACGCTAGAGGATGTCTTCAGTACTCTGTGAGTTTTCCGGGCAGCGTCAAATACAACTGCAACCCATAAACCTGTCACGGTAGCCATATTTCTAGCAAACCTCCCCATGGGTACCTATTCGCAAGAGGCCTCAGACGAAGGTTTGACAATTCGCCCCGGTGTAGATCAGGGGCGAAGTCCGATTGGTTGGTTTTTGGTAATAGGCGACTCGGCAAGAGATGTTCTGCGCCGAGGTGGTGAATAAGTCGGTATATTCATTGTAGAGTTGAGACATGGCACCTCGAAATATATAGGTTGGGTGCTAGAGTTTAGGCTCCAGGCAAGATTTATGATTCAGTCCAGGTACTGCTGATCACATGTCGCCCCAGGTAACTCTCTTGAGGATTTAATACTACACATACAGTGGCATGTCCTGTTCAGGAACGTTTATACCAATTTTGTCCTCAGGCAACGCTTGTGTTGAGTCCTCCTGTCCTCGACCCAAGCCTACAACACCCGAGGACAACCTGAGAAGCGTCTTGTCCACAATGTCGGATCTCAACCATCAGCACCTGAGCCTCATACTGGGGCTGTTCCCAGACCCTCCCTCGGGCAAGAGAGTCATGTTCGTCACTGCAGCCTCAAGCAACCACTTCCATGAGTCACAGGGTCTGATGAAGAATCTCCATCAGAACGTCTTCCCCTACATCAGTAACTACACCTTTGTGTATTATGATCTTGGACTGTGGTCATGGCAACGCAAACAGGTGAATATGCCAGAGATATAAATGTAGGGTTCAAGCAGATATGCATACATTTTTTCTGTTGAATAATGGACACCGGAGATAAATGCATCCACAGGACACCATTGCATACATGCAGAACAATTGACCATTATAGGGTTAAATAGTCGACTAAATTCGTCAAAACACGGTGGTAGGAACAAGGATGGCGCAGTAGTTTCATGCCAACGCTTGTTGTAGGTTCGAATTCTCGATTGGCGGTGGGGTAGCCTAATGGTTAAAGCGTCACGCCGAAGACCCGGGTTCGATTCCCCACATGGGTACAATGTGTGAGACCCATTTCAGGTGTGCCCAGCCGTGATATTGCTGGAATATTGCTGAAAGTGGCGTAACCCTCTTCCTCATGCTAATTCCCGAATCGATTGTGTAGTGTTTGTTTGATTTGTCTTTCGTTTCTTGGAATATCCTGCATGAAACCAAAACACTGTGATGTACCTAAAATATTGTGAAGAGCCGTGTTAAAATGACTTCTCTCCCTCGGGTTACGGTGGTGTGTGTGTATGGTTATCATGCTATCCCACATCTGATTCTCTCGTCAAGACTCTGGGGTGGAGGGGTACCCTAGTGGTTAAAGCGTTCGCTCGTCACGCCGAAGACCCGGGTTCAATTCCTCACATGGGAACAATGTGTGAAGCCCATTTCTGGTGTCCCCCGCCGTGATATTGCTGGAACATAGCTAAAAGCGGCGTAAAACCATACTTACTCACTCACAACCATTTTCAGCTTGAAAAACATTGTCGTTGTGAAGTTCGAAAATTCCCACAGAAGTACATGCCGTCCAGACTACAGGACCTGAGCTGTTTCACCTGGAAGCCGATCATAATACAGGTACTATGGTGCCCAATGGATGGTAAAGCGTCCGCCCGGAGAGCGGAATATCGCGGGTTCGATCTCCGGCCGCGTCATGCCAAAAGACGTTAAAATATGGTACTTATTGGTCCCTGCCTTGCGCTCAGCATTAATGGGTACAACAAGGACTGGTCGGCTCGAAGTCACGATAATGTGTCTGAGCGGGGTATTCATGCTTAACTGCGGCATGGTATCTCAGTGAGCTAGCACTATAAAACCAGCTTAAGTCTGGGCTATAATCCATTTGGCTCAAAAGCGGACGGATGAATTTCCATCTAACTCGAAAACTAATAAAAACATAATTCTCAATGAAACGCTGATCATAATCAAAACATCAGACCAACTCTAAGAAGTTTTTTTTGCAGAATTTATGTCCGAAAAATAAAAAAGTTGTTTAACAAACTAGCATTAAAATTTTGACACAGTTCCCTATTTGTTACGAGGGAGGAGTGCAAAGAGAGGAACAGCCAGGTGTACGAGAAAGGATGGAGACGGCACAGCACAGGTAAATGGCTCAATAACTCTGCCGGCACTTGTGCACGTGCTTCGCGTACACTTGGCCGTTCGTCTCTTTGCACTCCTCCGTAACAAATAGTGAACTGTGTCGATATATTAATGATAGTTTGTTAAACAACTTTTTCATTTTTAGGACATAATTTCTGCAAAAAACTAACAGAGTTGGTCTGATGTTTTGATTATGATCAGCGTTTCATTGAGTATTATATGTTTATTAGTTTTCCAGTTAGATTGCAATACATCGGTACGCTTTTGAGCCAAACGGACTATAATACAAGCAGACACACGTACCCACGCATGCACGTCGTGACATGTGCGAAATATTCTCAAGTACGACGTTAAACCCCTCACCTCACCTTATGGACGGGTCGTTGCTACTGTCATTGGTTTGTATAGGTCTGCTTTGATATTGTATACCTGACCTACCTGAAATATTGAAATATACTACCTACGTGACTGCATGTTTAAACAGCATTGGCCTACACACTTCAGGCAGTTATATTGCTGACATCAGTGAGTAGATCAAGGAAATATCCCTCTGATAGAAAACCCTGAACAGGAAAGTCATATAGGGTGGCGGCGCCTTCAATGAACAGACATTCCAAATATATATATATAAGTGATCATGTTAAAATTTAAAACCATGTTGACATTACTTCAGAAATATACCCACAAAACAAAGTTTATACATTCTGTTTTTAACGGATATGCGTACTACATAATTTTAGAAGCAACGAATAATATTATTTCTCAGATTCTAAACAGCCGAACCAAAGACTGCATACCTTGCATACACCAAGACTGATGGCGGCTAATATGGGGCGGGTATGATGATTTGTCAGTAACATTTAGTAACGAAATTTCAGGCAAACCTCCCAAAGACTGAGATATTGGTCTGGGTAGACTCGTGCGTGAGGTTCTGGAACAAGACTGCCCCCTACCTGCTAAATGACGTGGAGAGGCGTGGTATAATCACCTTTGGTAGCAATTACTCCGTAGGCCAACATACTATGAAGGAAACGGTGGCGTACATGAAGGAGGACACCTGCAGTCTGGCCCCCGTCTTCGAGGATCAGGGAGGGTTCTTGCTATTCCACAATGAGCAATGGATACGAGAAGCCATCGTCAAGCCATGGGTGGCATGTGCTATGAGTTCAAACTGCATGTGCCCTCGACATTCAAGACACATGAACAGATGTAACGTCAACGTCCGAATGTACAATAAGTGTCATCGGTATGACCAATCAGCGATCAATATCATACTACACAAACTGTTTCGTGGCCACAGAAGTAGTTTGTACTCTCCATTCAACGAGCGTCCAAATGTGACTCTGGAACGCGGAGGGGGTGACAATTATTTTGGTGAACTTGAAAGGTCTTAAAACGTATGAAAAGTAATGGGAAGCAATGGATGTCAAGGTTAATATTTGCAGAATTGCATTGTTTAATTTCAGGTCCATTGCTTGTATAGGAACCACTTTTAATTTCAGATGTTTTGTTATTTTATCAATATTGGCTGGTTAATTTAATGTACGCAGAGATTTATTATTTTTTCACCGTTATATCGTTTTATGGTCACCGAGTTTTACAGCATGTGTTTATTTTATTGCTTTTTGCTAGAACATTAACAATGGAGAAAAAGTGTTCTTGTCCATGGTTGTTTGACTTGATGGCGTCTTTTGGTGGCACTGCTGGCTCAGTCGTGGGAGAGTTGCGTCCCCTGGGGGCCCGTGAACAATAAGATCGTTGGCTAGAATCCCAGTCTGCCCGCATGGTTTGTTTGCACCATACCGGAGCTTGTGGTGTTTCGCCAAAGTGGTAAATGTCCAGGAAATGCTTTACTTAGGCTTTCCTTGCACATTTAAGGTGACACACCTTGATATGTCTAGAGTATTGTTCAAAACTGCAGTATACTCACTCATTAATACCCCAATAAAAATACTCTCGTCCAAAGGCGGTAGATTTTGTCACATTTATGGATTCTCGTTATGATTTCGTGACAATATCGAGCTGACACGAAAAATTACCTTTGTGGCGGTGTGTAAATAATCTGGAGTCTGGACCAGACAATCCAGTGATCAAAAGCATGAGCATCGATCTACGCAATTGGGATACGATGACTGACTGACTGAGTTTGGTTTTACGCCGCTTTTAGCAATATTCCAGCAACATCACGGCGGGGGACACCAGAAATGGGCTTCACACATTGTACCCATGTGGGGGATAGATGACATGTGGCGAGCCTGACCACCACCTGTTCCCGTTAATCGCCTCCAGGGACGGATAGGAGAGGGGGGGGGGGGGGAGAAAGAAAGTAGGGATGCACACTCAGTCCACGAGAGTTTCAATGGTCATTTGATAACCCGGTCGGTGGGGGGTGCACGCACGCACGCACGCACGCACGCACGCACGCACGCACGCACACACACACCCTGGATCCGGCTATGGCCTCTTACAACAAGCACGGGCTTCTGAAGACAAATGATAACCGGATCTTCACGGGTTATTAGTACAAGTTAAACGCTTATAATGGGTGGGTGGTACGAGCATGTTTACGGTTATACAGTATTTGGTGTTTAAACGTAGCAAAACTTTGTAGAAGCTGGACCTTTTCGGTTGACATTAGTGTACAGAATTTGTAAATTGTGGGACAGGACATATACATCGACATAACGGCTCCTCAGATCTTCATCCTGTGGACAGATGAGAAGAACGTGATATTCATCTTCGATATTATCACTGTCACACATTCTGCAGGATTGGTTCTCAGAAGCATGACATATTTTTTTTTTAATACATTAGATCATAATAACCACATATATACTACTCACACTTTGATAAGAATCACAAAAATTCACAACTTTACTTAAACGTAGATTTATAAATTGAAATTGTATCCATTTATAACTGGATAAATAATAATATGGTAACCCCTCTTTTGGCAAACAGACACTTTTTTCTAACTTCATGCACTTGATACATGAGTAACCATCAAAATGGTTTTCATGGCATTAATCAACCATTTTGCAAATCATGGAGCGAGTCATTGACAAGTACACCTGTCAATAGCAGGTATGGGATCCACAAGATGAAATGACATACTGAAACCTAGGATTCATGCTTACAATAAGCTTAGATATTTAAACCAAATTAGACCCCACATCATAGTTCTCTGTTGAATCAATGATTTGTGAATAATATATATTAAAAATCCTACCACTTGCTCATAGTGTTGAAAATGATTTGTTTTGGGTTACGTTGTCTCGACACCAGCAAAATATGAAGCAGTGGCGTCTCGCGATGAAAACATTCAACTGATCACTAGTTGGCAGTCTTCTCTTGTCCTTCACTGTTTGGGACAGTGGAAGTGTAACCAGGACAAATGTTGAGTCACCAGGCTTTAAAAACACTTGTGTAAGCAATGACAACGAGTGGTGGTCCGTCACACAGCAACGACTAGCCTTTCTCACGGCTGTACTAAACGCTAAGCCGGATGTACAGTAATTCTATCCTTTAAAGAGGCAAGTCTAGATAAAAGGACAGTCTATGGACGCCAGTCTGTTATTTATATTTTTTAGTAATTATCATTTAAACTATTAATTTTTTTTATTTACATTGTATTTATTTATTTTTTTGTTCCCAATGTGATGAGTACAAAAACATGAGTACAAGCATATAGAGGAATATGTGCACATACAAGCTAGTGGGATCAAAAGCGATATAGTACACTAAGTACATTGAATGTCTATATTAGTGATATGTTTTTTGTTTAATATCCATTCAGGGTTAAATTCAGGGATGAGAGGAAACCATTTGACTAAAAAGCTTTCAACATTATTATTTCTTCTGGAGATGAATGATTCAGTGGTAAAAATGTCTTTCAATATCCTTAAGTAATTATCAACTTTTGGAATTGTTTTTGTCAAAGAGCAAGTGTAAATATATCTCTTAGCAGATAAGATTATGTGGTTCAATAATGGGTTCTTACCTAAAAAGCCAAACCAGATTTAAACCATTTAAACTATTAATTATTATGTTAGAAACTTGTGCAAATCTGTGCAACTACGAAAACGTTTTTGCACAAAAGGTCCCTGACTGTCATACAGACCCTGAAACAAATATATCCAAGAAAGTCAATGCAAGTCTAGAATATGTGGCAAGTCCAGATTACCAAGAATATATTGGCAATATATATTCATCAGTTTGCAAGAATATCATTGTCACAAAAATATTCGTTTTTCTTAATCACTGATTCATAAATAAACCCCCACAGGAACAGGTTGTATTTGTGAAGTGCAGTTTTCATGGAAACTTACATGAAACTGAAAAGAACTTGTACCTCAATCTTATAATGTTTACAACATCCACTAACATGTTCAATAGCAAGAGTCTCTCAATAGCGAATCCCGTTATAAACTGGAACTGCCTTTAGCCAGATACAGTTGGCTGTAGGGTCGTGATATAGCCATCTCGTTTAAGGTATTTTAGACACTAATATGTCGGGGAGATATTTCACAATATATATTTCGCAAACGATATTCATCGCCTGTTAATGGGCTATATTTAAACAGAACAAATATGCGGAGGTGACTCAGCTCTGGTTGAAGGCAGAGTGCAGAGTATTAGGAACATTGGTATAACGGTTGTTGTCACTACGGAGATACACAACCAACCGTTTCACCATGGGAAACTACCGTGCTGTAGTCGGACCCAAATACAGAAGAGGTAAGGCGCTGGACCACCATCATCACGTTATGATGTCTATATTTACACCTATATTTTTATATCAGTTCACCTGATGAAGGGACCTGGAATGGTCTCGAAACGTCGTGAGAAATTAAAAAAGAAGTTTAATCCATAAAAATATCTTGGACATCAATGTACAACTTCTAAATGCCACTGAAAGACATTATATTTACACTGTTGTGAAATAGGTATAAACCCCAAGAAAACCCCAGGAAAATCATATAAAGATGGTACTTATTATCCTGTTTTCATTAAGGGAATAAAACACTGACTGGTCCTCTCGAAATTAGTATCGTGTATCCGTGTTAGACTAGTATTTAATTATGCATTTGTTTTTAAAAATCATAAAGTGGAATGCGTGCCCGGATCTGCTATTCTAAATCTGGACTGCCGAATTAATGCGTTAATTATCTTTATGTATTATATATGTTAATAATGTATCAGCAGTGGACTAGTTTCTGCACTGTAACGTCCAAACAGTGTGAATATAAAATTGTATCCAGACCACAGTCGTATGGCAAGAGTACTGTGTGTCACGCACCAAACACTGCGTGTGTGTGCAAACCACGATGTTGAAAATACTGGTTGTTACACTCCACTTGGCATAAACTGATGAACCTTTGTGATTCCTCTATCTTCCCTAGGAGTTGTTACTTGTAGTGACGGCCCTCCACGTCATTAGATTGTTGATGTGTTGTGGCCAATCGGCTGATAGCCTGCAACTGCTCACAATGACATGCCAGCATTCCACACACAAATAACTTGCCATCTATCTTTGAGCAGTTGTTAGTTGAGGGGTCTTATATTTGCAGTTATCGAGCTGTGAGAACATTTTACTGAAACTTGACATTTACTTAATGACGGGTACAAATATTGCAAGTGATGCTCATCTTTGATCGTATATCAAAATAATTTTAATCATACAAACAAATACACGTATGACATGAAACTAAATGGTTATATAGGGGTTAAGAATCAAGGGTGTTGCCATTACCTTTTTCCATGTGTATAGTTTGAGGATTGTGAGACAGACGCCTTCACAATGAGTAACAATGTTTGGTTTAACGCCGCTTGTAGCAATATTCCAGTAATATCACGGCGGAGGACACAGAAATGGGCTTCTCACCATGTACCCATGTGATGAATCGAACCCGGGCCTTCGGCGTGACGCGCGAACGCTTTACAGTTATTCTTAATAATTGGGTGCATATCCTGTCGCCGCCATGCCTCTCTTAAACTTAATTAGCAAATATTATTATCAGTATGGTTGGAAAATGGTACCAACCTGGCCAACGGTCATCATGCATAAACAGTCCAATAACCCCAAAAGTATATTTGATACAGCTAAGGTAATCGGTCAATTTGACATGTTCGTTACTGTCGCCGGTAACTAGACCTTACTTTGCCGTTTATCTTACTAGTAATGCATTGATATTGGTCAAAAATATCTTTTTCTGCAAATTGTTAAGCTAATGCATTCTTTTTAGATAAATGATTTGGTCTAATGTCCTGTCGCCAGTTTTGAGGAAATGCCCGTGATTAATTTAAACTTGACATGTACATGTATAGAACAAAGTATAATCTTATCCATTCACTTCGAATGAATACAATTTATTATTACATTAATTTTATTTGTCATTATTTGGGGCTTAGAATATCTCTCTGCATAACATATCTCAATACATAGAAAATATTCCATGCGTAGAAATAAGAGTGCAATGTCCATTACCACCGACGGTCCTATTATTTCCAGAATTTCCAGTCTCATGTTAAATAATTACAGCATCATTATTAGAAATTTATACTCCAGAATGATTGAATGTTAATAAGTAAATTTGGGGATAGTTTACTAGTACGTTCCTGCCTTTAAACAAATACAACTTATGAAGATATTGTCGATTTAAAGTTTGGAAACATGCTTATTTATTCTTCAAATACTGCCCATCAAGTGTTTAGACTCACTTCAAGCACTCACTATTTGTTGCGTTCGCGTGTGTTTATGTTTGTGTTGGGTGTGTGTGGGTGTGTGTGGACTGCAAACCTTATGCAGATGAAGTGCATGAGGATTATGCATCAAATTGCTCAAAAGCATGTGCAAATAGTGTGCATGTGAACAGCTCGGTTTGGGTGTAAAGTTTTGTAAAGAATTCGTCAATTTTCACTGAGTTTCATCATTTATTGAACACTTTATGATTGAATTTTCAGAGGATTTGAAAGCATTTGTCACTTCATGGCATTTTTATTCATGTGTATCCTGCGTTCCTAAAGTTTCCTTTCACCCAGTTTGTTCAATGTTTGTAACTTCAGTATGATTCATCCTGCACTGTACTTGCTGGGGATTAGTCCACCTAGCAAGAACACATTTACAATGTTACTTCCAAGTTGGTCATAAGGGCTATAACTGCTTTCTAGGAGCGTGTTTTATCGGCTTAGGTGATTATCCTTTGTTATAACGGACTTTTCAATGGTAGGATTTTCTAAGAGTGTACCTTTTACCTTGTTATGAAAGCTTTCAAGTCTTGTTGAATTCGGTTTTAAGCAGCCCATTAGGTAACCTTGGCAAAATAATGGTTTCACTCATATACAACTTGATTTATTTTCGACACTTTTGTGAGCCATTTGCATGCATCCCGTTATTGAGAGAGGGCGTTTAACCACAAGGCAACCCCACCGCCCGCCTTCACAATGCCCCCATAAAGCGCCATGATCGTGGGTACAATGAGGCAAGGGGGTTGTAAGGTTAAAGCTGAATCAGACTAGAATATAAATGAATACTGATCAATGCAACTCAGCCACTCGTGCGTTGAACAAAACGTTCTGTAAGGCCCGTCTCGTTTAAAAGAACCCCATGTGTACACAGAAATACATTCCCCGACGAGTGTTTGGAAATTAGTCTCAAGTATACAGTCACTGACAGAAGCACACACAGTCTTAACAAACAATTGTGAATGCATGATGTCCATATTCTAACACCAGACTGCTATATCAAAGAAACTTGGCCTCAAATGCACATCATGTTTTTATGCGGCTCCTGTCCTCATATGTTTACATACTAATTCAGAATGCACCAACCGCATAACAACAGCTTGCTCAGATTGACCTGATCAAGTGAATACTAATGCATTGCGTGACCGTATCACAACTGGTTGGGTCTATTATTGTGAAGGGGTGGACCTTTGTCAGTTGATTGTCAACATGTCTGAACAGCCGAGACAAGGTCGCCGTTTGACATCTCAGTGTCGAGAAATCGTCAGCATTGTCATAACTTTCTTTAACCTTAAAAAAGCTACATACGGTTTAATGTTTCCGATTCGGGCTTTTAGGCAGCGATCAGCAACATTAATAACATTCTCTGCTCCCTATTTAATGAAGGTAGCTCGATCTGCCGTTTGTGCCATTTGACCTCCCGGGTCATGCATATGTAAAGTAGCTCAGGTCAAGCTGAACAAGCTGTAGGCATGCACATTCAACACGATGATGGAGATGGAGAGGACCATGGAGATATGAAATGCACATCCAAGTTCTACGTTTGTCTCGCCAATACAGTGCACAGGAAGCGATCACACCCGGCACGTTGACATGGGAGGACTACAGGGACAAATCGTCTGATGGCGACCCGGTATGAACAGACAGCATGCTCACAACAACATATGTACCACATAAATCGAGAAAATACATGATGCAACTTATGTGAGGTACGATAGTTGTACTTAAGATATTACTTATGGATTTATGTGACAATCCTGTTATTTATGTACAACTACATAACTTCCAATAAGTGTGATAGGTATATTGATATTGTTCAATCCTGAAACGAGGGTGACGGTGAAGATGAGTCTGAGAGTGATGGGGAAGTAGAGGGTCAGGACGAGGTGAAGGGTTGGGTCTAGGTGGAGGGTTGGGTCTAGGTGGAGGGTTGGGTCGAGGTGAAGGTTGGGTCTAGGTGAAGGGTTGGGTCAAGGTGAAGGGTTGGGTCGAGGTGGAGGGTTGGGTCAAGGTGAAGGGTTGGGTCGAGGTGAGGTGGAGGGTTGGGTCTAGGTGGAGGGTTGGGTCTAGGTGAAGGGTTGGGTCAAGGTCTAGGAGGGTTGGGTCTAGGTGGAGGATTGGGTCTAGGTGGAGGGTTGGGTCAAAGGTGAAGGGTTGGTCTAGGTTGGGGGTTGGGTCTAGGTGGAGGGTTGGGTCTAGGTGGAAGGGTTGGGTCTCAGGTGGTGGAGGGTTGGTCTCGAGGTTGAGGGTTGGGTCTAGGTGAAGGGTTGGGTCTAGGTGGAGGGTTGGGTCTAGGTGAAGGGTTGGTTCTAGGTGGAGGGTTGGGTCTAGGTGGAGGGTTGGGTCGAAGTTGAGGGTTGGGTTATCAGAACCATAACATTTGTGTTTAGGGACTTATAATGTAGAAAATAAGATTGACATGCACAATTAGTGTCCCTGAAACGAGGGTGACGGTGAAGATGAGTCTTAGAGTGATGGGGAAGTAGAGGGGTCAGGACGAGGTGAAGGGCTGGGTCAAGGTGAAGGGTTGGGTCTAGGTGAAGGGTTGGGTCTAGGTGAAGGGTTGGGCCGAGGTGGAGGTTGGGTCGAGGTGAAGGGCTGGGTCAAGGTGAAGGGTTGGGTCTAGGTTGAGGGCTTGGGTCGAGGTGGAGGGTTGGGTCTAGGTGGAGGGCTGGGTCAAGGTGAAGGGTTGGGTCTAGGCTGAGGGTTGGGTCGAGGTGGAGGGCTTGGGTCTAGGTGGAGGGTTGGGTCGAGGTGGAGGGTTGGGTCTAGGTGGAGGGCTGGGTCGAGGTGAAGGGTTGGGTCAAGGTGAAGGGGTTGGGTCTAGGTTGAAGGGCTTGGGTCCAAGGTGAAGGGTTGGGTCGAGGTGGAGGGTTGGGGTCGAGGTGGAGGGTTGGGTCGAGGTGGAGGGTTGGGTCGAGGTGGAGGGTTGGGTCTAGGTGAAGGGTTGGGTCTAGGTGGAGGGTTGGGTCTAGGTGAAGGGTTGGTTCTAGGTGGAGGGTTGGGTCTAGGTGGAGGGTTGGGTCGAAGTTGAGGGTTGGGTTATCAGAACCATAACATTTGTGTTTAGGGACTTATAATGTAGAAAATAAGATTGACATGCACAATTAGTGTCACTCACGGTCAAACACATAAGTTCCCAATATATCGCAATGCGTATATATTGCAATACAGTTTATTTGCCAATACACAGCCCAATTACAATCATACAGTAAATTCCTTTCCATTGATTTCCCCACCTCACACGGCACGGAAAACTCGATGTCTTGACGTCATGCTAGTACTTCATCGGAGCTGCAGGTCACATAATGCTGTAGTTACTGGGTGACTGTTTAAAATCTTTAAAAATATATCACAGGTGCATCAATTTCATTTGTGAAGACTATTCAATTTCGGGTACAAATGAAGGACCAACGCTGTTCGGTCTGATGACACACAGTTTACCAGGTCGCACATTGTCTAAAGAGAGACTTGTTTGCTCAGCATGACTAATTTATGGAACGGGGGGCATATCGTGTGTGTATTACTGGTGGTGCAAAGAGGGTTTGGAATAGTCAATAGTTATTAGTTATTAGTTATCATACAAAATATTATTGAAGATATATTACATGTAGGTTGCTGTACACTACTACAGGGTACATAGAGGCAATGGCCGTACCGTCACAAGGGTGTATTTGGAAAAATGCAAGCTTGATATTGATACATTCAAAAGGTGGCAGTAAGTCCCGCTCAATGGCAATTATTGGTGCAACAATGGGTGTCCCAGTGCAAGTCCGGACTCTATGGATGGCATTGAAATCGCCAGAATGACTTACAATAGAAGTGTGGGCAATGCGATATTTAGAAAGAAAAAGCTGACACAGTAGAGCTTGTTGTAGGCAGAGTGCAGAGGACTGGGAACATTGGCATACAGTTTCTTGTTACTACCGATATACACAACCAACTCATCATGGGAAACTACCGTGCTGTAGTCAGACGCAAATACAGAGGATGTAAGGCGCTAGACCACCTTTATCGTGATACAACATCTGTATTTACACTGCTACTCGAACTACTACTGCCTACGGGTATAGGGTCGGGACGAGGTGGAGGGTCAGGACGACGTAGAGGGTCAAGACAAGGTGGATGGTCAGGACGAGGTGGAAGTCAGGACAAGGTGGAGGTCAGGACAAGGTGGAGGTCAGGACGAGGTGGAGGGAAAGGACGAGTAGTATACACAATGGGGCTACGGGACCAGGTCCCTCCCAAGGGCTCAATTTTTAAAAATAATTGAGCCCTTGGGAAGTCCCTAATCCCGTAGCCCCTTTGTGTACACTACTACTGAGTTGCATGCAACATTTGATGAAAATCGGTCGAATAGTTTCTGAAATATTTGACTTTTAAGTGAGCATGGGGTTGGTAGGGTGAAATGTTGTTGTTTTTTAAAAACAATATAAAAATTTCTATGACAACGGGAGGGTTTTGAACTATAAATAGCTGATGCACCTTCTATGCTGATGAATGTCGATTCTAAAATTATGGACTGTGGCTTCTAAATTATTTTTCAGCGTCCATCGATACATTTATCGTGTTCAGCAGTGTTTAGACTACAAACCAGCATCGTTTTTGTATTTTATTAGACATTTATTTGAGGTGAAAAGCCTTCTAACATTTTCGAGGCGAGAAGGCGGATGTGAACTGACTTATTTGTGTTATTATAGACGGAGCTCAGCTTAGACATGCAATTCAATAATAGATTGTGGTTTCTAAATTCAGCGTCCATTAACCTGTTTGTCGTGTTCAGCGTGTTTAAAACTCCCTGGGAGTATCGTGTTTGTATTTCATTGGAGGTAAAATGCCACCAAACTATGAACCGGAAGTAGAATTTGTGATAAACTGTTTCTAGAAGTCTGGTGCGCTCAGCTTATAAAACGGGTTCAAGACATCCTTTGCGTTCCTATAGACGGAGCCCAGTTTAGGAAGATGAAGCAATCTCAGGATAGACCTGTTAAACCGAAATGTAACTATCAAGTCCCTGGTAGCGCAATCGGTTGAGGTGCGGACTTAGGATGTGTAGTTGCGCAGCTATAGTTTGGCATGAAATGCATGTGGACCCGGTTTTTGTAAATATCTCTTCATCCAATGACCCAATCGATCTCAAATTGTGCAAGTGGATGTTTTGTGAGACAACCTAATCACATTGTAAATAACCGATTTTATGCATTTGTATTAAAGAATCTGTCTAGGTAACTGTCAACAAAATAAACAGCAGAACGCAGACTGCTGGCAGAGGGAGGGAGCCAATGACCTGTAACAACGGCAGTGTTGGGTCATAAAGGTAAAGGCACGTGCAGTTCATGATAGTTACCCGTGCACTGCACAGTGATAAACCCTTTGGATCATTCACATTGACTACTTCTAGCTGTCATCATGAAAGCGTATTCAGATGATGCTTAACGTTTAATTAGAAATGTGTTGCATTTTTTTTAAAAAGAGAGCAAACGGAGCAAACCGATTTATAAGGTGTCAGATTACATGAAACGTAAACTTTTGCTCTTGGCATGAAAAAGAACATCGTGCTAAAAATTGTGAAAAATAAACCAACAACCAATAAACAAAACCTTGTACAAAAAGGTAGGCATCCAAAGTTAGATTCTTTTGACATCAGGGTCATCAGAGATGTCATTCGCCAATGAACACCTGTCCACAAGAAAGTTAAAACACATCCTTGCAGAGGATCACGACATTAATGTTTCTAGGTTTATGCTAAGCAAACTACTGCTCAAATTTGGATACAAGTACAAGAAGGTAGCAAACCAGAAACTTGTAATGTGTGAGAGATCTGATATTGTGAAAATAAGGTGTAACTATCTGAGAGACATTAAGCAGGCAAGAGAGGATGGGTTTGAACCTATATATCTGGATGAGACCTGGGTCAATGCAAACCATACTGCTGCCAGACAGTGGCTACCCACTGATCCCAGTGATGGTAGGAAAATACCAACAGGCAAAGGTGAACGTTTAATCGTTCTTCATGCTGGTTCCCACCGTGGAATCCTATCTGGGTGTGATCTGGTATTTCGGTCAGAGAGCACAGATGGTAGGGACTATCATACAGAGATGAACTCAACGGTTTTCACACAGTATGTTGAGGAACAATTGTTGCCAGCTCTGCCGTATAAAAGTATTTTGGTCATGGACAAGTCAGATAAGCAGCAATGGCTAACCAAATAACAATATACAATTTTCAATTAAGGCCACTAAACCACAGTTGTACTCTTTGATTAAACCTAACAAACTTCCACCCACATATAACATTGACAACATGCTACGCCAACACGGCCTTGAGATTACCACCGTCCCATTGTAAGCTCAACCCAATCGAACTTATCTGGGGAGGCCTTAAAAGTACAGTGGCCCGGAAAAATCAATCATTCAAGTTGAATGATGTCAAGCACATTGTCAACACTGCTATATGTGACATTGACATTGCACGCTGGCATGCATGTGTTGAACATGTCAAGAAGGTGGAGAAAGAGTACTGGCTCAAAGATGGCTTGAAGGAGCAAACAGTTAATCCAGTTGTCATTCGTCTGGACACTGATGACTCCTCTGTGGCAGAATGGAGTGAACTTGATGAAGTTTAATTCTGTTATTATATTTACAGGTAATAATAGTATCCAGCCAGATATGCTCAAAGAAATATAACTTGTTTTAACAATGACAGCACTGACTAATTCCAACGACTTATAGTGTAACATGAAACACTCATTTCACATAAAATTATCATGAAAATATAAATAATAACTATCTATATGCTTAAAGCTATTAGAAATGCATTGCTTAATTTGGAAAGTGAACGACATCAAAACATAACACTTTTGTCTTCATTCTACCTTTCTTTAATGAGTGTGCATGATTGTGTGTGCTTGTGTCCGAGGGAACGGGGCTTTAACAGTTGTTGAGTTCTAACCATAGGTGGTCCGATTAATGGTTTAGTGTAAATATACTTTCTGTGTTCTTTAAATGCATTTCCACTTAGGTATTGCATAAACAAAATATGACATCAACATTACAAATTTAAATATTCTAACCTACAGAATAATTCTCACTAATGGGTTTTGTGGTTAATGTTGAACAACTCAGAGAAACAAACTCCGTATGATGGTTAACAGTTGGCACCCACCTTACCCTATTCACGACCTGTGACACCTCTTCATACCTGCCACGTGCATAGCTGACCTACATTGACGAACGTTGACCTTTATGACCCAACACTGCCGCTGTTACAGGTCATTGGCTACCTCCCTCTGCCAGCAGTCTGCGTTCTGCTGTTTATTTTGTTGACAGTTACCTAGACAGATTCTTTAATACAAATGCATAAAATCGGTTATTTACAATGTGATTAGGTTGTCTCACAAAACATCCACTTGCACAGTTTGAGATCGATTGGGTCATTGGATGAAGAGATATTTACAAAAACCGGGTCCACATGCATTTCATGCCAAACTATATGCATTGTGTGTTTGTATCCCACCGTTGCCTCAGTGGGTTCCTTGCAACTTTTGTGTGTTTCGTTGGTGGTAGCAAGGAATCAGGATCACATCAGCTGCGCTCAGCTGAATTGGGGCACTCTCGTGGTGAGAGAAAGGTAGCCGACACATGAGTCCCCTAGGGAGAAGTTGCACAGCCTTCATCTTTCTACTTCACCCTAGGGGAATTGTGGCTACTTTTTTTTTAAACCTTTCTATCTTTCTATTTTAACCTTTCTATCTTTACCTATTGTTACAACCACCACGACTGTTAGGTGAGTGAGCCGCTTTTAGCAAATATTCCAGCAATACCAGACATGGGCTTCACACAATGTACCCATATGTGAATGGAATCCCCCATTGCAAATGAAGCTGTTTGATACTTATGTACATCATCTCACTGAGACATTGTTAAAATTGAGTGAACTGTGTTTACTCATATATTCACACCGTTAACATCATCAAGGATGGTCACCTAGCCTCGGACTGTCTACTCGGCTGTGATGTTGATGTCCGCGAAGCAATTTATCATGAATCTCCGATACTAATTTGTTTGGTTTTCGTAAGGAAGGCTTGTCGGACCTGTTGCTTTCCTTGTTCTGTGAAATGTTTTTTCTCGTCTTCGCTGATGACAGCGTTTTTACGAGACTTGGTCCGAATCTCTTGTTTCAATCTGTGATATTTTGCGATTTCTGATAGCACCAACCGAAACTCTTCCTCGGAGATTTTAGAGTCGGTGAGCGCGGTGGAAATATGATCGTCTATCGTGCTTCAGCTAGAATTCTAATTTCGTCGTGTTTCAATGCTTTACGTTGCA